CCTGTGTATTCCCTCTGGTCCTTGTATACAGTTGCCTTTTATGTTTTTTAAAAAATGTATTTGCACTGAATAAGTCATTGGTCTTGCAAAATTCTATTAAGCCATGCCAAGCATCATTCTATCATCAAGGTTACATTTTCCAACTACTGATCCTTCCTCTTTGTTTCTAATTTTTACATGCCAATCACCAGTAATTATCAATACATCTTAATTACATGCTTGATCAATGTCTAACTAAAAAAGCTGGTATAATCTTAATCCTATCATCACTGGCTTTTGTGGCTGGTACATAAACTGGAATAATAGTGGTATTAACTGGTCTTCATATAGACATATGGATATTATCCTATCATAGACAGCACTGTACATCAAGACAGACCTTGAAATGTTTGTTCTTTATAACACTGAATTCAACACTATTCCTCTCCAAATTGACATTCCAGGCATAGTAAACCATATGACTATCAGATTCAAAATAGCCAATACCAGTTCATTTCAGCTCACTAATGCCTAGAATACTGATTTTTATGTGTTTCATTTCATTTTTTGACAACTTCCAATTTTCCTAGATTTATACATTCTATATTCTGATTACTAATAGATGTTTGTAGCTGTTTCTTCTCATTTTGTGTGTCAGCATGAAAAGTCCCAAAACCTTTGCTGGTTTCACATCATTATAAGCAGCTTTTCCCCAGTCATATTTTAAGAGCTTTCCAACCTGAGGGATCACCTTCCAGTCCTATTATCAGACAATGTACCATTGTTATTCACAAGGTTTTTAGTGGCAAACTATTGAGAACTGGTCCACTTCTCCACTTGCATAGTGTTTCTTAGTCCAGAAGCACCACTGAATCCTGTTCAACATGGGTGATCCTGCTGGTATTTAAAATACCAGTGGTATAGTTTCCAGCATCATAGCCAACACACAAATACCAGAACAAACTGACAGATAAGTGGTGACAAAAGCATTGTGGTAAGTGATCAAAGACACTAAAAGCTACATACTATTTGATTTTGCTTCAATTTTTAGAAAAGGTAATCAAGACTGTGACTTTCTTAGCAGGGATGTGGAGACAGGGGATTGACCACATCTCTGAGTAATACCTTTTAGGATAGTTTTGACTTTTGAAGTCTTTACACAATCAAAAAATATTCTACATATTCAAAACTGAAATTAAACCAACAAAGATGGGGAGTCAATATCCTTAAGATGGGGAGAAAATATCCTTAAGATGAATGCTAACAAATTAGTCCAACCATTTATACAAATATTTCAAATTAAGTATAAGAAACAATCTGAAGCAAAGGATGAAGTAGTGGAGAGGTAATTAATCCAAATACTTTCAATCTGTACTCTCAGTCTACCCACTGCTATCGAGTCAATTCTGACTCATAGCGACTTTATAGAGCCCTTAGAGAGTAGAGTAGAATGGCTTCTTATGGTGTCCAAGACTGTAAATCTTTACAGGAACAGCCAGCCTCATCTTTTTCCCCATCTACGTGAATTAAAATAACAACAATAAAGTTGCCAATATAATACATGCAGAACTGATTTTATCAAATAAAGCTAAATTGAGAAACAATTGAAAATTGGCCTGTATTCTTCAAAAATGCCAATACCATGAAAGACACACAAAAGCTAAAAACTATTCCAGAGAAAAAGGAAATTAAAGAGACGTAACAAGGTGAGCAGGACTCTTGCTGTGGCACTGTAGGATAAGCACTGGACTGCGAACCACAAGGTTGGCAGTTCAAACCCACTAGATGCTCCTCAGAAACGCTATACAGGGTTGCTATGAGATGGAACCAACTCAACGGCACTTAACAACAACAATAACAACTAAGTACAATATGTGATCTTGGACTGGTTCCATTCTTGGAGGGGAAAATGCCACAGAGGACATTATTGGGACAGCTGACAAAACTGGAATATGATAATCTTGAATTTAAAGTATTAAAATACAGTAATTATGGATTAGATCAAAGTACTAAACAACAATATTAAAACGTTCTAAATTTGGAAACTGTATTTGGATGATTTAAGAGAATATCTGTGTTCTTAGGAAGTACACACGGATGCAATAAAGGCTAAAAAATCATGCTGCAGGCAAGCTTCACTCAAATGAATCAAAGAAAATTAACTATACAAAAAGAAGGAGTCCTTGGGCAGCACAGCAGATAAATGCTGCACTACTAACCGAAGGCTGGCAGTTTGAACCCATCCAAAGAGGATTCCTCAGAAGACAGGCCTGATGCTCTGTCCCTGAAAGGTCACGGACTTGAAAACCATATGGACAAGCCATCATCATGAGTCACAATAGACTAACAACAACATACAAAATGAGTGTACTTAAAAAGGAGGCAGCTTCAAAAAGTTCATTGAAAAATTCTATTATCTTTTAATTCCATTTTTCCACAAACTTTTTGACATGCCTACCCCCCTCAGATTTATACAGAGAGAAAAAAAATGGCATAAACATGTTTAAAAGATTAAAAATTGGTAAATTTGGGTAGAAGATACACGAGTCTTCTATATTATTTTTATACAATTTATGTAGATTTGGAATAATTTCAAAATAGAAAAGATTTTTAAAATGTTACAGTATGAACATTTGTGCAATTGAACTAGAAGGACGAAGAGAAGTCCTCAGAATGTACACTATTTGAATCACGTCAAGAGCTCACCCCATGAGATTTAAGTAGAACAGGGGAAACGATGAGGAAGACAAGAACTGAGTGACCATATGTGGATGGAGTCATGATGCATGTAAAAATATCAGTATGAATAATGATGGGAGTTAGGGTGGGAAAAAAAATCTGACTCAGTAATTTGTAATAAATAAAGGAAGAGGAAGGTGACAGGTAGAATAGTATATATTGCCTCAAAGAAGCTTGGTTTTCAATAAGGGGAAGTGAGGGAAAAACAGCAACAAAGCTGCAAGTCAAGCCCTACAATGCTCAACAGACTCCTGTGAACCCGGGTGGAGACCTGGTTGGCCAGCAGTGTGGCAAGACCTAGGGACTCTTGGGCCCAGAGTCAGTGACATAGCCACAGAGGACTAGAGTGGAGAGTGAAGCGCCCTGCTGATAAGAAGAGAGGGCATATGCACAAGAACACCCACACTTGCAGATAATACCCACTTGACCTAGCTTCAATGACTGGATGATCAGAGCTCAACTAGAAGAAGAAAGAAGAGGAAAAAAAGAGTAATCTGATACAATTTGATGAACTTGACCTACACCTACAGATGCAGTAGCTCAAAAGAGGGAACAAATCTTTACAGCGAGGATCATTCCCACCCCCCTCCATACACAGTAGACATGGATGGGCAACTTGGACTTTGGCTATCCAAAATGGCGGGGGTGGGGGTGGGGGAGGGCTACAAAGGCAAGAAGTGACTGGCTTACAAGCTTTCAAGAGGGAACCTAGATCCAGAGGGCATGGAGGAAGGTAGAATCTCCACTGTGTAGTATCCAATTTGTCTAGGGGGGCTGATGAAAGGAAATACGGATAAGTCTCCTGTGCTATAATAGTGAATAATTGTTATCAGGACTGATTGTGAGGGCTGAAAATGTAAAGGTAGACGTTTTGTAGCAAGGAGGGGAGTGATTCACTTTGCAGTCCAGGAGTGGAGGTCCCTAGGACCATCAAGGGAGAAGAGTGGAGAGCGGGACCCTACCCAGAGAAGCAGTGATGCCAGAGATGGAGGCAGAGACGATGATGTGGTGAGATGGAACAGCTGGGGACTTTAGACCCAGAGAGGGAGAGGGGCTGTGTGCTGACGACCGAGGGGCAGGCTTGTATTGTATACCCTTTGGTTGGTTGATGATGCATTGAGGGGAGTGTAACCATGGCAATGAAACGATATATGATAGGATGAATGCAAAACTAATGTTCTTCCATGTAAACTCTCACATAATTCACAATAAAATATTGAAAAAAAGAAGCTGGGTTTTTATAATTAGGAGGATACGTTATAGTCTGCAGCAGCAACAGAAGAAGAAGAAGAACATCTACCCTATTTCCTGGCCCTAAATTAAGTGGGTATGACAGATAAAAGCATAGTCTCATCTTGAAAAGGCTATAAAGGCAACAGTACCTCAGGAGGCATCCAAATATCAGTTAAGGAAAAGATTAGAGAAAACATCCACAAATAAGGTAATCTGGTGGTTTTGTTAACACAGAGGAAAGGTTTGGGTCAAAGGGACGATATAGGAGACTGGATTATTGTTGTTAAGTGCAACTGAGTCAGTTCCAACTCACAGTACAGTGTTTCGGAGGAGCAGCTGGTGGGTTTGAACCACCAACCTTGTAGACCAGTGTTTATCCTATATCACCATACCAGAACCAGTTAGATTAGACTCTGAGTGATAAAAAAAAAATGACCAGAGGGTAGAAGATGTAAACAAGAATTCAAGGCAAGTGGAAATCAACACTGGTAATCTCAGAATGGGAATTTAGTACTAGCCTCAGGTCCACAATGCTCTGCTTTGTGGTAGTTTCTAGAGTACCTCCCTTTCCTAATCTCCCCAGCCAGACAAGTAGGCGCCCTTATCTGTGATCTTAGAATATATTCTCAACTGTCTATATCTATCATTTAGCCCACATTCAAGAAATAACTGGTTGAATGAATTAGTGACTCACAATAACCTGAGTAGAGCAGAATCAAGAAAAACAAATTGGAAATCAACTCAATAAGAACTGGTCTTGCTGTTATGTGCTGTGGAGTTAGTTTCGACTCATAGCAACCCTGTATTGGGTTTCCAAGGCTGTAAATCTTTACGGGAGCAAAGAACCTTATCTTTCTCCTATGGAACAGCTGGTAGTTTAGAACTGCTGACCCTGAGGTTCGCAGCCCAATTCGTAACCACTAGCAGAGATTAATTTCTGGGGGGAAAAAAAACTTCTGAAATTTTTAAAATACGGAGTTGGTTTAAGATTCATACAATTTAAAATGGATGATTTTTCTAGTGGATTTTGGTAAAAGAAATATGCTTACTGTACGACAAGCTGCTGGCACACAGTTCCAATGTCTGTTATCAGCTCATTCAGTTTTAATTCAAGGTGAACTTTACCCTATAATGACAAAAAAATTATAAACTGAGTGGTCTATTTTACTAACAAGATATTGTTTCAAATGCTAGCCATAATATTTAGTTATCTACTAACCCCTAGTACATGATTTTGCCCACACTAAATATTTGTTAAATGACTAAAAGCCAACAACATAGATCAAAACCAAAATGATGAAAGATAAGCAGCAGTCAAATGCTTATATCGAACATGGAATTATATATAAGAATTTCATGCCCAGTTCAACAAATATATATATCTCAATTATCATGGATTAAAAAGACAAGCAACACTATGGGTTAGGAAAAGTTAAAATAAATCAAAACATAAAATGTAGAAAGTCTTCACAACAGTTAAACCAGAAATAAGAAGCAGTATCAGTAGAAGATAAAGCACCTAATTCTAAAACTAAGTTAAAAAGCCAAAAGACTCAACTTGTCAATACTTAACTTTACAAAATAATAAAGATTTACTAAGTACTAGAGACACTGTAGGGGTGGAATAGGTGCATAAGACACAGTTACTGCTTACTAAAAGCTAACAGTCTAGTTGGGGAAACAATAAATAAAAGAGAACAATATATATATATACATTGTGCAAGAACCTCAATGAAAAGATAGGATACTAAAAATAAAGGAGCATTGTCTTAAACAGCCAGTAACAGATGGATTTTTAACAACTGAGCAATATTTTTTAAAGGAATTGTAGCATCAACTTTTCATGAAACAGAGGTTTAAGAAAAATAAAGTAATCCAAAGTCTGATACTTCTACCCTGTCACTGGTGATGAGCAATTCTAAACTAGTTAAGAATCAGCACTGGATTACCTCCACCCAGCTGACAAGACAAATTCCCACGGTGACAAGAGATTTCAGAGGCATGATATCTAAGGGCTGATGACACGAATGATTTCATCAGAGAGAGGTAGGAAAGTTCATTATCTAGTCACTGTTCCTTTTTGAAACAACTCTTCTTTCACAGAAACCTAACCTAAATCAGTCTCATTACTCTAAGAGACTCTAAGGTCCACTAACTAAGAAATAAAGCTTAGGATAGATATCAAGTGATGAACAAATACTGACAGACCTTGTCACAAATATCTGTATGAGAGAGTCAAGCTTTAAAGCAGCAAAGGCATCCATGGTAGAAGGAGCAGTAAGGAGGAGCTGAAACTAAACAAATCTTCTAGTAAAAATCTAGGTGCAGATATTTATAAAATCATAATTCATAAAATAGGTCTTTCAATTTTCCTATATTCAATACTCACAACTCCTACTACTCAGTAGTGACCTCAAAGTTCCAGGATACATAGCAATCTGTAATTATTACTCAACTAGACTTCTGAATCATGCTTTCTACAAAGTTAGCATTATGTGTGTCACTTAGGTAGTAAAGGAACCTAGCCAACTGCATCAGAACTTACATCTCGGGACATTTTAACTATTTTAACAGGTACGCATTTTATGTCAGAAGCTGTACACTATTAATCAGGAAAAGCCTAGAATCTACTTTTATGTACTATAAAAAAAATTTTTTAAGGTGCACTAATTAAAAACAAACAAACATATATATAGATATATATCTCAAGATATATATCTATATCTATATCTATCTCAAGTCAGGGCTAACAACAAATTAATGGGATTCTGCCAGGAAGCATTATCAATGAGTCAGAGCCTACCTAATACGTACATTACTCCCACTGACTGTTAACAAGAACATTCCTTTGGTACTAGTCTGCAACAAACATAACTGTTTATTAACTTAGTCAAGAAAAGAGTAGGGACAGAACAGACACATGCTATTAGGTGGAACACTAAAATTAAAAGGCATTATGAGTTAAATTAGAGAAATTATAATTTCTAAACCATAAAACAAGGAGCTCTGGTAGCGTAGTGGTTACGAATCGGGCTGCGAACCTTAAGGTCAGCGGTTCGAAACTACCAGCTGCTCCGCGGGAGAAAGATCAGGCTTTCTACTCCTGTAAAGATTTACACCCTCGGAAACCCTGTACAGGGTCGCTATGGGTCAGAACCGACTCAACGGCACTTAACAACAACATAACAAAACCATAAAAACAGGACCTCACTGAATACTTTAACATGGAAACATAAGACTTAGTAAAAGAAACAAGTTACAAAATAGGGTATATAATATAATGCTGGTATGGTGCTGCAGGATAATGCACAGAACTTCAAGGTTGAAATGCAAGGTCGGAAGTTCAAATCCACCTATCGCTCCTCGGAAACCCTATATAGAGTCGCTATGAGTCAGAGCGATTCAACAGCACTTAACAACAATGCTTTTTTTTTTTTTTTTTTTAAATATACAACAAACTGATACATATATGTCAGCATAGAAAGAAATGACTAGAGGCCATTTACCAAAACATGGATAAGATGTTACCTATGGCTGAAGAGGTTTCAGATTTTCTCATTTTTGTTGATGATCCAGATTTTTGAAGTTTCTACTGACTAGTATATACTGCTTTTTAGTAAAGGAAAATGAACACATTTTAAAAATTATTTTGAATGAAGCAAAATTCCATTCACATTTTGTTATTGTTGTCAAGTGCTACTGAGTCAATTCCAACTTATAGCTATTCTTTACAGGGTTTCCGAGGCTATAAATCTTTGCTAGGGCAGAAAGTCTCATCTTTCTCCCACAGAGCAGCTAGTAGTTAGCTCAAACAGATGACCTAGTAGTTTGCAGACCAGTACTTACATTACAGAGGCACCAAGTGTATTTAATATTACTGAATTATTACATAGAAGTTCAGTTTTATTTATATCTGTAATCAGTTTTACTTATACTGCATCAAAACCATTTTTTGTGTATGGGGACAAGTTAAGGATCAAGTAAAATATTATATAAAGGAGCTCTGGTAACATACTGGTTACAAATCAGGCTGCAAACCACAAGGTCAGCAATCTGAAACTACCAGCTGTTCCGCAGGAGAAAGATGAGGCTTTCTGCTCCTGTAAAGATTTACAGCCTTGGAAACTCTGTACAGGGTCGCTAGGAGTCGGAATCGACTCCACGACACTTAACAACAATAACAACCTTCTTTGAAGCCATGGATGGTAGTTAGGAATAGCCATATGATACAGTTCTGGCCAATGAGATCTTAACAGAAGTTGCTTGGTGGAATATCCTAAAAAGACTCCAAAACCTGAGGAGTGAAGTGAGCCTGAAAAGTTTAATCAAAGGTGTTTAGAGCCTTTCCAGCAGTGACGACCTCCGCATGCCATTCATGCCTCTCGCAAAAGATCTCCTTCATCCCTCTCCAGAAGAGGAGAAAAGGAAACACAAGAAGAAGCGTCTAGTGCAGAGTCCCAATTCCTACTTCATGGATGTGAAATGCCCAGGATGCTATAAAATCACCATGGTCTTTAACCATGCACAAACAGTAGTTTTATGTGTTGGCTGCTCCACTGTTCTCTGTCAGCCTACAGCAGGAAAAGCAAAGCTTACAGAAGATGCTCCTTCAGATGGAAGCAGCACTAAAAGCAACCTAAATCAAGATGAGTGGGAAACAATCCCAATAAATATTTGAATACAAAAAAAAAAAAAGGTGTTTAGAAAGTCTTGGAGTTGAGCAAGCAAAAACTGGAGTTCAGATCCACCAGGTAGACAGCCCTAGTAAGTATCCAGATTTTTAGCTGGAACCACTAAAAACATGTATAAAGAATAAGGATAAACTAGGAACAAGACAAATCCCTGCTAGAAGCACAAATGAATAAAAATTTCATCCAGAACCTCATATTATTTATAAAATGTTTCCTATACAATGCCCACTATTCAATCAAAAATTACTAAGCATGCCAGAAGACAATATAAAATCACCAAAAATAAATAAATTACAAAAGCAGTAAATTATAGGTAATCAAGATAGTGACAATAACTGTCAGAGGTTTAAAGTGATGTTAAGACTTTTTTTTGAATGATACAAAACAAAAAGGTAAATCCAGAACTGGAAAGCATGAGACAAATTAAATGAAAAAATTTTAACTAAGTGATAAAATAGCCAAAATAAAGAATGTACCAGATGTATTTAACAGCAAATTACACACAGCTGAAAGACAAAAATAAAATGGGAGATAAATGAGTAAAAAAATTTCAAAATGCAGCACAGAGACCACAAAAATAGTCTATAACTCTTTGAAACTCATGAAAGCCATCAACCACAGATTCAAATACCCTAGAAGCACTCAAGTAGGATAAAACTAAAGAAAGTAACACCTATATGTATCATAGTAAGTAACATTGCTGAGAAAAGAAAATTCTAACTACTAAAGAAAACAGACATGACCTATCAAGAAGCAACAATAAGACTCTTACAAGAACTACTATGTTTAGTGATAAACATGAAATGTGATTTGGTTCACATCCCCTTTCTTAACCTAAAGAAGTTCATTGACAAGTAGCATATCCTTTACATATGTCAGAAAAAGTTGGAAGATCAATTATCTAGTGTTGCCTCTACACTTCAGTTAAAAATAAACCAAATTCTTTTCAGTTGATTGACTTGATTATGTTAGGCTGGTATACGCACATACACTTATATCAAGAGTTTAACATTACTCTGGTCTAAAGATGGATTTCAATTATGTTTATAAAAATTTCACACAGAAATAGCTGTGTTTATTTTAATTCAATTTTAGTAGATTCTGGGTATAATATAGCACAGATATAAATTTCTGCAGTTTTGGAAATTTAGATGAATATAGATATTTGGGCAAACCAAAAGGTTGGCAGTTCAAACCTACCAGTTGGTTCCTCAGAAACCCTATACAGAGTCGTTTGAGTCACAGCTGACTCGATGGGACTTTACAACAACAACATAGGTATCTGAAGAAAGTATAATGCGTGCACTTAAAAAGCTCTGAAGGCTGAAAAATACATTGGCTTTTATACAAAACACTTAAGTTTCTACATAAAAGAACTCAGTATATTATTAAAAATAGTGAAAACGTTTCTTCAATTGAAGAGGAAAAACAACTTTTGGATTTCTGGCATTTTTGTATTTAATAACTGCATTCTACAAATAATTTTGGACCCAATTTCTAGTCAGATACAAAATAAAATAACGGTTTAATTTAGTATCTCGTAAACTAATGTCAATTATTTATGGATAGATTTGGTTTTCTCCAAAAAGATACAGTATATTCTAGAATGACTGACTTTTTTTTATTTTTACAAATAAAAAATTTTAAACCAACCTACAAATATGAATTATGTCTTTATATTCATTACATTTTAATCAGGCATGTAAAAAATCTGACGTATGCATTATTGTTGTTATCATTACATTTCTTTTTGTAATGCAGAGGCCATATTACAGGGTAAGAAAAACCATACTACCAAAACAAGTACACAAACAAACTATAAAGCAATCAATAACATGGCATGATCCAGAAATTCAAGATAAGCTTGTTGGTAAGGACTTATTAACAAAATAATTGCATCAAAAGAACATGATTGGCTGCATAATCTGGATTTACTACTTGCACAACTATTTTGAGACAAACACCCTTACTTAAGAAAAGCAAGTAGAAAATCTGGGTGACTTTCTTTAATCAGTCTATGGATCACTGTTACAGCACAATTTGTATTCTTTAACCAGACACTTGTCACAGTCATGTTCTTTATCATAGAGACCAAGAAATCAAGAAAGGAAAAAATAAGTTTTTGTGACTTCAGGGCCAAACACCTAATAGCATGACTATAGATCACTGAAGCCAAAAAGATGACTGATAGAACAGATACCAGCACAATCCTTATTAATTTTATGTACTGCTCCAACAGATATGGAGAAATACGAAGTAAAGTAGGATGATAATCAGGATCAGAAACAAAGGAAAAGAATGCACAAAAAGAAAGGCGAGTTTTCAACAGTATCAAAAGGTCAAATAAGATGGCTAAAAAAGTATCCATTAGACTTCCCAATACAAAGGACATGAGTAACACTGAGAGCTACTTCTGCTTCTTTCAGACCCTCTGCAAGACTAGAAGACCAATTAGTGGGCTTAGAAGAGATGGTTCAACCTAGAGAATAAAACTAAAAGGAAGACTCAAACAAAACAAAAAAAGCTAAAAAGGTACTCATGAAGCATTATTAATAATATTTTTGGAAGCTGAAAAAATTTAGTAACATTATTAATAGCACTAATAAACCATCTGAGACAATTCAAGGAAAACTTATTGTTCTTTGTAATTTGTCAAATGTTATTACTACTGGGGATCTTTTGATTTGAGGGCTAAATTACATTTCTGTATAAAACCACAGAATTTCACAGCCGAATGGGACCCTATATACCGAAACTCTTATGTAACCAACGATGATCCTCAAGTAACAACCACCATTTTGGGTCCAAGTACCAATTAGTGACAGAACTAGGAAGTTAAACATGCATCTTCCTCTGAAGTTGAGAGTTATTTCCACCACCCAGACACTTTCCTTAGGGAACAAAATTCCAAACTCGGCTACTCTACACGAACTGTATCCTGCAACTATAAGCGGGCTTCAGAAGTCCTTAGAAATATGTAATTAAAAGAACAGAAGTCTTCCACGAAAATTTTAAGCCCCATATTTATCCAGTTGGAGTCTTTGGTATTGCGGTATAGGATAAGCAATGGATTGCTAAGCACATGGTCAGGAGTTTAAACCCACCAACAGCTTCTTGGAAACCCTATACGGTGTCTATAAGTCAGAACTGACTCGATACCACTTAACAACAATAACTTAAATCTGGTTAAGACTGGGATGGACAAATGAACCAAGCTTGTCAAATTAGCTCTCTATATTGTTGCAAAGAAATTAAATGAATGCAATCATATACACTTTATGAAATGAGAGAAAATGACATAGATAAAACATTATTCACTTTGCAAAATGAAGGGAGAAAAAAAATCTCGCTTTGAATATTGAGTATATTAGTAGGGAGAAATGAATAAGTGGGTCTCAGTTTCCATGTACCTCTAGTAGTCTGAGAATCTATTGCTGTAATTGAGTTAGTGTCTGCAATTTAAAGACAGCATTTTTCATTCATCACAGCCACAAATGCAAGTCAACTATTTTGTGCAGTAGCTAACCAAAAGAAAACAAACCAGTGTTTAGAATACTTTTATGAAAAATTAAAAGGGAGCGTGCTATCTCTGTAGGCTTAGCACTAGGCGCTAATCTTAAAGTCAGCAGTTCAAACACACCAGCCAGTCTTCAGGAGAAAGATAAGGCTTTCTGCTCCCTTCAAGATTTACACCCTCAGAAATCCTATACAGGGTTGCTATGAGTCAGAACAGGCTCAGCGACACTTAACAACATCATGAGAAACTAGAAGTTTTTTCAAAAATAAACTTAACTTGATGAGAATTGCCCGGATGTGTTGTCTTAAGAACCTAACCTGCACTTAAGATGCATCTCCTTCACAAATGCCTGACAACTTTCTAGGTCAAACTGGCCATAATGGGTTTTACTGTAATGGTATTCTCAAAAGCTCCCTAGGAACTTTCTAATGCTGCTTTTTCCTTTGAGCTCATTTGAGTCCCGTTCTATTCCTTATACTCAGCTGTTCCTTAAGTGATCTTCCTAATCTCTAAGTGACAGGACAAAAAGGGAGGAAAGCACTGCAATTAAGAGCTTTTGAAACAGACAGATTTCTGTTGAAATCATGGCTCTATCACTCAGTAGTAGTTCTGTAACTTTAGACAAATTAATATTTAATCTCCACGAATCTCGTTTTCCTAATTTATAAAATAGAGGTAGTAATGCTAACTTCCTAATATCATTCTGAAGAGTAAATGAGATAATACAATGAGGTAATGCGTTTAGTATTGTGCTTTGTTGTTGTTAAGTGCCGTTGAGTAGATTCTGACCCATAGCAACCCTGTATAGGTTTTAAGGAGCATCTGGTAAGCTTGAACCGCGGACCTTGCAGTTCAAAAGGCTTTGCAGTCTGGTGCATTAACCCACAGCGCCACAAGAATATTTAATTTGTTGCGAGTTTAATCAAACAGAATGCTTGAGAGGTTATATGGAAATGCAGAACCAAGAACTTTATTTGCAAATTATCTGTGCGTGGTGAGGGGGGGGGAGGGCGGGCATAGCTTTTTCTCTTGCCTTACACTTCTGTTTGAGTCACTGACAAATTATATCTTCTTCTAGAGATGAAAACTCCTGCTTGTAGCTCTACCCTTGGTATATGGTTTCACAATGCTTGACATAGTTTACAAATAAATAGAGTTAGTGAAAAAAGAAATTTTTTTGGATAAAATGGCAATTTCTAAGACTCAGACTTCCCAGAAACAAACAGAGCTCAGCTGCATGGGTAAGCATACCGTCTTTACTCAGATAAAGAATCTGCTTCTAATTTTGGCCAGAAGAAAGAAAGCCTTAAAAAAAGTAATGATACCCTTTCAAATAAAAAGAGATGTGAGTAACCAAAGGGCTGGATGTAGGAATGAAGACTAGCAATGGTGGGCTTGGACATGATTTGAATGCAGCATTTTCCCAAGTCTAGTTTACTAGAATAAACAAGGCATCATGATGAAATGAATGAAATCAGAAACTTCCAGGGATCCTTTTCAGAGTTTGTAAGGCATATCTTTTTCTTTCAAACCTTTTCTCTTAAAAAAAAAATTTTTTTTTAAGTAATAATTTGCCACTGTGCCTCAAACAGAAAGATTAAAACAAGAAAAAAATATTCACCTAAAATTTTCAAAAAGTTCATGGGAAAATGAAATTTAAAAAATAATGGAATTTTTCCAAGAACCTTTTGAAGCTCCTTTGTATAGCCTCCCCAAACTTACAAACACACATGCATAATCTTTAAATTTATACAGCAAAGTCATTTCCTTCCAGTTCTTTATTACCCAGTGGTCTATACTATGCAAATATTTGGTGCCAGAATTTAAAATAAGGCATAATAAAGTGGTATCTACACAGACTAGTATAATTAGTTCATTTTTCCTGTGTTTGAAAACCTCCTACATTACTTAAGCATTAATATTTATTTACCTGAACTTCTGAATTGGAGTCAATAGGCTGTAGTGAAAACCACATTTCTTTACCACTGTGACTACACAAGTCTTCTTTTTTGATGGCTACTTTTCCTGTAGGAAATAAATAAAAACAATACAGTTTATGAATTTCAATTAAAAGAAAAGGGAAAACAATTAAACACATCATTAAACATAATGACTTCTTGATTAAAATTTTGAGATTAAAAGTCATTTAAATGATGCTTTTTTTTTCTTTTTACTTTTTTATTGTGAATTGAGTGAAAGTTTACAAAATAGAATATCAGTTTGTTTTACTTCATTACAAATCATATGCTCTGCTTCATTACAATTTTAATCCCATTTATATAGCAACAATGAATAGTATTTACCTCTATTTACTTTAAACTATTTGCATTCCTCCCTGTGTCTCCCGCTACCTTTATTTTTCCTCTGCTAACCTCCCTCTTGTTACATATTGCCTGCCCTGTAACCCACCTTAACATGTGTCTACCCTCTAGCCCATGAATAATTTTCTCTCCCACCCTCCCCTGTAACCATTAAAGATTAAGAAAACCTTTTCACAACTTTTCACATTAGTCAAATACATTTTTTTTCCCTTTTGTGTTGACTAGTTTCACTCAACATAATGTCCTCCAGGTACTTAAATGTTGCTTTTATCAGATACTACAATGAATGATTGTGTGGCTTCAATGTAGTAAAAAAAAAAAAATCAATGCAGTTCCCTAAAGAGTTCCTAGCTCTCTGAAACATACACAATGCAATAAACAAAGTAGTGTGAGAAGAAGACACATAAATGCATGTTCTTATTATAATGAGGAGTACTGGCGTGGCACTGTGGGTTAATGCGCTGGAAGCAAAGTCAGTTTGAACCACAAAGTTGGTGGTTCAAGATCACCAGCCAAACCTTAGAAACCCTATACAGCGTCACTAAGGGTCAGAACCAACTCGACACCTAACAACAACAACTATAATGAAGTACTTGCCATGTTGTTATACAAAGCATTTCCTGCCTCAATTCAAGTTTTAAGAAGTAGGCAGCTTTGCATATGACTGAATTTATTCTGAGATTCTATACTAAGCTTCAACAAAGATAAATTCTAAAGCCAAAAATAGTTCATTTCCTTTCATTTCGTCAAATAACACTTTTCATTTTAAGTATGTTAATTATACTTCAACAGTCTTGGTGTGTCCTTGTAGGATAAGCACTGGACTGGTAACCATAAGGTTGGCAGTTCAAACACACCAGCAGCACCTTGGAAACCCTATATAGGGTTGCTATGAGTCAGACCTGATTCAACATCACAGCTTTTAGGGTCCATCATAATTTGGCCTGAATTTACTATTGCCAGCTTCACCTACCACTCTCTCCTAAGTAATTTACATTACCAGCCAATTCCACAAACATGAGTCATATTTGCTCTTCTGCTTCTACCAAGCCCAATGCCTTGAAACTGGACTTCTTTTCCCTATCTAGGTTGTTATTGTTGTTGTTGTTGTTGTTATGTGCCGTGGAGTCGGTTCCGACTCATAGCGACCCTGGTACAGGGTTTCCGAGGCTGTAAATCTTTACGGGAGCAGAAAGCCTCATCTTTCTCCCATGGAACAGCTGGTAGTTTGAACTGCTGACTGTAGATTAGCAGCCCAATTTGTAACGACTATGCTACCAGAGCTTTGTTAATTCCCCACCAAACAAAATTCACTGTTTTTCCTTCTCTGCTCCCAAAGTACTTTATTCATATCTCCAGCACAGGTCCTATTTTAATTAGAGTAGGCTTCAAAAAGTTAATGGAAACATGGAGCTCAAAGACAATGACATTTTTTTCACAAACTTCTGGAAGTCTCCTAGTATATTAGCATTAGAATGTATGCCTGCCTTTCTGATAGCCTGGGAGCAACTTGAGTCTTATTCATCTTAATAGTCCCATCCTCTTTATGACACACATAAGTGTTTCATAAATGTTTAATTGAATTGAGGATGGAGCCTAAGGGGTGAGCCATAATTAAGGGTTTGCTAGAAGAAGAATATGCATACAAGTAAAGAAGTCAAAAGGAGAAAATCATGTAGGAAAATATAATGTCACGAAATTGTCTTTTCCTTGGTTTTCAACAAGGAAAAGTTGCTTGAATAGGCAGTCAAGAGTCAAATATGACACAGAGACAGGTGAAGATCAAAACTAAGAAAATGCCTTTTATGACAAGCAGAAAAAGGATTTGTTATGTATATAGCTGACACAAGTTAACACATTTAACAAATAAGAACACAAAAAGACAAATATAAAAACTACAACAATAAAAATAAGCAAATGTACATTTAACTCACAGAAGAATGTAAATCACCAAGAAACAAAAAGTTCCTCAAATCCACTGATAAGCAAAGAAACATAAGTTAAAACAATAAAATTTAATTTTCACCTACAAAGTTGGCAATTATTTTTCAATGATATCATCAAAGAATTAACAGGGTGTGGTGAAATGACTATACCCATGCCATGTTTGGGAGAATGTCAATTAGTACATCTGGAGGATGTGGAAATGCATAGCAACGCACTGACGCAGAGTCAATTCCAATTCACTGCAACCCTACAGAACAGAATGGAACTGCTCCGTAGGGTTTCCAAGGCTTTAAATCTTTATGGAAGCAGACATCCTCATCTTTTCTTACTGAGTGGCTGGGAGGTTCAAACTGTTAACTTCTGGTTAGAAGCCTAACACTTAACCCACTCAACCACCAGGGTTCCTTGATAATATATAAAGGAGACCTGAAAAAAGAATCATACTCTTTCATTCATTATTTCCACCGCTAAGAATTTATTCTAAGGCAAAAGAAAAACAAAAACTCAAGCACAAGGATGTTCACAGTAACATTATTAAGATGGAAAAATATTTAGAAGCATATTTACTGTCTAAATTATCTAGTGCTGCTATAACAAATACAAGTGGATGGTTTTTACAAACAAAAATTTATTCTCTAACTGTTTGAATAGTTGTTATTAAATGCCGAGTCCATTTCAATTCACAGCAACCTTTTATAGGGTTTCCAAGGAGCAACTGGTAAGTTTGAACTGCTGACCTTGTGGTTCACAGTCCAGTGCTGATCCTACAGAAATGCTAGTCCTACCATACCAGAAAGGCTAGTCCAAATTCAAAGTGCTAGTTAAAGCAAAGACTCCCTCTCTGTGTCAGCTCTAGGGAATAGCTCTTTCTGCATCTGCAAGCCCAGCATCCTTGGAGATCTCCCTGTGTCTTTGAGAGAATCAACCTTCTCCTGGATCTAGAAGCGTCACCATGCAGACACCTCAGCTACACAGTACATACTCCTCTCCTGGCTCGTCTTCCTTGGAGGTCGTAGGTTCCTCTGATCTCTGCTCACTTTCCTCTCATTTTCTCTCTTGATCAGAGCTGTGGCAGGATTAAAGAGGTTGCATCCCACCCTTAATATTTTTACTGCTTTATTACATCAGATAATATCAGGAGGATCATCACGTAATGACCACATGACACACTATATAACTGACAAACCACTGAGAAAAATGACCCAGCCAAGCTGACACATATTTTGGGGTGACACAATTCAAACCATGACATTCACCAATAATGTTTTTGAAAATATTTAATGTATGGGAAAAGAATGAAATTAAGTGCTAGGGACAAAACCTGAATAAACAGTACAATGTTTATAAATGAGCGGATTAAAGATTGGAAGGAAAGATACCAAATTACTAACTGTGGTTATCCACACGCAGAGTTTATAGGTTTATAAGTAAGAAATACATTGTTCTTTAAAGGTTATCTGATTTTCTTTAAAATTATTTTGGCAAACTTTAAAAAAGAAGACGTGGTAGAAAATTTTATTTAAAAATGAAATAAACCATAAACAAAGAAAGGAGACAGACCATTTGTTAGAAATCTAATAGTAAAAGCTACTTTTTAGTTTTTTGGTTATTGGTGTTGGGTCCTGTGATACCTTGATTTACTTGATATGGCTTTTCTATCAAACATCCTCTTCATTCCCACCAAAGGATTAGGTGAGACCATGCAAATAGGGTATATAAGACTTTAATGTTAAGACTGGGTAGTTCTGCCATCCCACTAGGTTTAAAAAGAGCCATCTCAGAAGCAGGAACAAGACTATCAGTAAAGAAGAGCATGAGTGGAGCCTGAGATCCCCACCTAGGAAAACTGCGACAGCAGAGATGAAGGGCAAAGGCGGCAGCATGGAGAGACAGAGCAGTTGCGGGATTCTAGGCCCATGGACCGAGTAAAGCTGAGTGCCTATGGGCAAGAGGCTGGCTTGCAGAATGGGCCTTCAGACTGGCTTAAGCTTTGTTAACACTTGCCCAAGAGGTCACATGACAGAGAGGCCCAAGACAAGAGCAAGGTATGCCTGCACTACAGCAAAGAAGAGGCTGCATTCCAAGTTGTTTCTCACCCTGAATCATACCCTGTTCACTTCCTTAATAAACCCCATAATTGTGAGTATTGTTATGAGTTCTGTGTCCACTGCAATAGATTATGGAACCCAGAAGTGAAGCAGAGTGCTAATGAGAGGAATGGTTGGTGTCAGAATAGGGTAAAGAAGCTTGTAGGAAGGAGATATGTCTGACCTCTACTTCACAGCAATCTGCCTTGGATTGGTTTTGAATTTGATTCTCCTTTCCCCTTGTGAAGTCAGAGGAAGTCAGAAGTGGCCTCCACACAATTTTTGTAGGCTCTGTAAGTCAACTGTGATTCACAGCAACACCACGAGACAAAGTAGAACTAGTCCACAAGGTTATCTAGGCTGGAATCTGTACAGGAGTAGGCTGCCAGGTTTTTCTCCCGCAGAGCTATGGGAAGGGTTCAAACCAATCATTCTGGTGGTAGCCAAACACTGTAACCACAGGGGCATCAGGGCTTCTTAGAGCTACATTGCTGCTATTGTTGTCAGGCCCATTTAGTTGATTTTGGTTTAACAGCATTAAGTGGCAGTAAAGAGGGTAAAGTCAGATAAAGCTTAATTTGGAGGGTTGTTGGAGACAGGAGCATATCTTGAATCAGAAAGGCAAGATAGAGAGGAGGAAATTCAGGGCACTAAGAAAGGAAAGGATAATACATGCATATTATAGACCTAAGGAAACCTGGTACCATGGTGGGTTATCCACTGGGCTGTTAACTGTATTATCAGTTGTTCAAATCCATAATCTGCTCTGCCAGAGAAAGATGAGGTTTCATTTACCATAAACACTGACAGCCTCAGAAACACTAAACAGGGTCACTATGAGTTGGAACTGACTCATGGGCACTTAACAAGAACAACAACAAACCTGTTATTTAAATACAAAGATGATGTGCAAAGACCATAAATGTGACATATATGCAAGCCAGTTAGTTTTGTTCTAGTCTATCCCTACAGACCATATCCCAGTCTCAAACAACTATTTAAGAAATACCTTTATAAGTCATCAATACAACTAGATAATAGAAATAAGACTTACATTGTTAAGTGACTTCGAGTTGGTTCCAACTCACGGCAAACCTGCATAGTGTTTCTAAGGAGCAGCTGGTGGGCTTAAACCATTGACCTTGCAGTTAAAACTGACCTTGTGGTCCAGTGCTTTATCCTACAGCACCACACCAGGACTCCAAAAAAAGTATGACAAGATTAAAGCAAACTATAGGGAGACTATGAGTGGAAACTGACTCCATGGTAGTGCAGTGGGTTAAAGCAACTATTACTTCTGCAAGAAAAATTTCAAATACCAGCATTCTTTGAAGGATCAATAATGTATCTCTATATAAAAACATTCTTTGAAACACTCAATACTTTATCAAACACTTACTAAATGTTAGGTACTCTGTGAGTCACAATCCCAGCCCTCTTAAGTACCACTTATGTTCAATTTGTTGTTGGTGCCATCAAGTCGGTTCCAACTCATAGCAACCTTGTAGTTAGCAGTCCAGTCAGTGCTCATTCTACCACACCAGGGCTATATGTTCAACTAGAGAACCTTAACATTAGACAATGCACTGAGGTACCCCAGGATTCCACAAGTACCATGAGTACCATGAAAGAGAATTACAAGTTACTATGGAAACACAAGTATTGTAACCAACCAAGGGGTCAGCGAAGGTTTCCCTGAGGAAGTGTCACCTAGGCTGAGTATACAAATTAAAAATTAAATTGACAAATGAATATGCCACCTAGAGAAGAAGATCAAAAATGGTGAGCATACACTATGCCACATCTTTTTACACTTTATACTTGAGAAAGAATGAATATAAACAACAACACTGTGATTAAAGATAATTATGAATACCACATACCTATACGAAGATCTCTTTGTAAAACATTCTTATCATAAACATAGAAAGACAAATACTGGAAAGTTCTTGGAATCTCAAAATAAAATTCTTCACTGAAAAATGGGCTAGAAGAAAAAGAGGGAAAACTCATTAAATTTAAATTCGATAGTGTCCTTAAATAATCTTATTTTCAGCAAAATCACTTGAAATATAGACTAAAATGCCATCTAGATTCAAAGTTCAAAAATTTACAATACATTCCAACCAAATCCTGCACAATCCAAGCTGAGCTCTGAGAGAAATCCAACTATCAGGATGAGCTGTGCACAGTTGTCCCCGAGTCTCATGGACAGAAGACCCCGTAACTGCCTGTCAAAATAGATGTTGTTGTTAAATGCTGTCAAGTTAGTTCCAACTCACAGCAATCCTGTCTAGGGCTTCTGAGGCTTTAAAGCTCATGAAGTGGCTAGGAGGCTCGAACCTTGGACCTTGTGGTTTATAGTCCAGTGCTTATCATATGGAGTCACTGCACACTCCCCCACCTGAAGAGGTGGTCATCCCAAAAGCCAACTGTCATCATATTTATTTATTCTTCAGCAGACAGCTCTAATTCTGTTAAAATCCCATGCATCAATTTCTTTTATGATTACTGCTGTTTGTATCCTGAGTAAGAAATCTTTGCCTATCCCATGTCTGTTGAAGGGTTTTTCCTATAACACAGCTTATTTTCACATTACTAACACTACTTTGATTGAAATTCTTCTATAAAGACACAGACCTATGAAATTACAGTGAATATCTTTGTCAAGAGTACTTCTTTCCTGATGTTTACTTAAAAGAGAAAAAGACACTTCTAAAATGTGACCATGAAATGTAATGTGCTAAAGATGTCACAACTAAAAGAGAAGCAAAAATGCAAGGTGAAATACTCTTAATGAAGTAATTTCTGACCTTATCCAGAAAACAGTTGATCCAGCTTCTTAGTTCTTACTATAATGCTTGGTCAACTTTCAACACTATTGTATTCCCTTTTGATGTAACCAAAATAAGCTTTTTATAGTTGGCCTGTCAAACTAGTTAGAGTCTTCTAATTAGTTTGATCATAGAAACTGATGGAAACACAGCTATAAGACAAAGACATATATAGGTATTTTCTCCCTTTGCATCAATTTACAAACAATTATAAAATAGCAAGTTTCTTTCATATATCACATACATCCACTAACAGATACTATTTTTAAAACACATTCTAAGGCCAATAAAAACAACATAAGAATTAACTTATCTGTTGTTGTTGTTATGTGCCATTGAGTCGGTTCCGACTCATAGCGACCCTGTATAGGGTTTCCAAGGCTGTAAATCTTTACAGGAGCAGAAAGCCTCATCTTTCTCCCACGGAACAGCTGGTAGTTTCAAACTGCTGACCTTGTGGTTCACAGCCCGATTCGTAACCACTATACTACCAGAGCTCCTTATCTTAACTTATCTGTACCACTGTATTATCACAGTCTCAACAACCTAAGCCCCACATCTGGGAGTTGACATCTTTATTTTCTATATTAATCAATCTACCCATTCAAAGAAAACTTTCCTACAGTGTTGGTAAAGAGTCATGACTAGTTTATGCAGGTTTTACTCTGCTGGCACCGCTGACCTGTGATAATGATTATGACTCCTAAGGAGATTAACAGTGTAGTGTGGGGGAGATACCTGAACAGTATCACTGTTACCCAGTTTACTTATATACCACCTCAGATTGCTAAAAGGATTTGAAGTAGACATTCAGAAGCTATAGATTACATATATGATTTCTAGTCACATGTTATAAACACTCTATATTTAGACTACATATAAAAACCACAGCATGTAGAACCTATAAGACATCCAAATGGTTATCTATCGAGATCCAGCTTAACAGCTTGCTGTTGCTACGTTGGTTCTGACTCATAGCGACCCTGTACAGGGTTCCCAAAGGAGCAGCTCATTTGAACCACCAAACTTGCAGTTCAAACCAACCTTGCAGACCAGTGATTATTCTACAACACCACTCCAGGACTTCGATTACAATATTTATAAACATTATAAGGAAATCAAGGTGAGCAAAGATTTATACTACTGATTCTTTCCCTCGATTCCAAAAAGAAAAATGCTAAGGTGCACCCCAAATCCAAGCAGCTAGCCAAACTGTACTGATACTAACTAAAGTAGCTAATTTGCTAAGCATCTAGAAAATGATTAAGATGTATTTAAAAACATAAATCACTGAAAAGGCAAGGGCTCAAAAAAGAACCCCCAAAAACAGCTGGTCTATTTTAGTTACTCCTTTACAAGACTAGAAATAAGAAAATTATACCACATATAGTCAAGTTACAGTTACTATTTACTTTTTTTTGTGTATCTTACTGATTATTGTGTTATATGGAATCAGTGAGCTGAAGTAACCAACAGAGATATAAACAGTTTCAAGTCTCAATCTCAGTTTTGCTTCTAACATCCTTTATTAAATACACAAATTATTCAGCCTTTTGGACACTCCGTTTAATCATTGATAACATAAATAATACCAGAATTTTAACATTACAGGGACTAACGACTATTATAAAGTAGCCCGTTCAAATTTTACAAATTAGAAGAGTTTACTCTCAACATGGTATACTTTCAGAATATAAGAAATCTACTCAAGAGTTCATTACCTGATAATGTACAACTAAGCTACAAAGAATAAGACTTGTAATTATTCTTTAGATAAATAAAAATAATATTCTTTGAGGAGATAAATTTAGACTAAAAAATAGACTGAGGCATATGGTAAGTGTTTTTAAAAACTTAAAAGAGTGTAATGGGAAAGATGAGTTAAATCTGTTTTCTAGAAGCCAGTTTCTACGATCCTGAGGCCCAAAGAACTGGCTACCACCACCAGCAATTCTGAAAGGGATTATATTGGATGGTATTGGCTAGAGTGGGAGAAAATGAAACAAAATTCAAAATTACTGAAAACAAAAAACAAAACCCACCAGGCTTACTAGTCAGAAAGAGACTGGACGAACCTGAAACTATAGCCCTTGTTCATCCTTCAGGTCTGAAACTGAACTAAACTATCTAAGCCCTTTTAGATAAGTAATGATGTTGTTATGGGCCATGGAGTTGGTTCTGACTCATAGCAACCCTGTATAGGGTTTCCGAAGCTGTAAATCTTTACGAGAGCAGAAAGCCTCATCTTTCTCCCGCAGAAGAGCTGGTAGTTTCGAACTGCTGACCTTGCAGTTCACAGCCCGATTCATAACCACTACACACCAGAGCTCCTTAAGATAAGTATATATGGGAGCAAACAACACTAGTGAGGTATGCTGACCATGGAATGATCATTCAGGATTGAAAGAACAGCATTTACCCAAGGACAAAATTCATAAGAGTTGGGAAAGAAAGTGGACTAGAAACAAGAATCACAGGGACGAAGTAGAGTAAGTGACATTATACTGAGGGTACAGCAATCATTTGAAATGAAACTAAGTATATGATTTGTTGAATGTAAAACTGAAGATCTACTCTGTAAATCTCCCCACAATCCTCAATAAAGTTTTTAAAAAAAATCTGTTCCCTAGAAATTCAAGGGATACAGCAAGAAAATATATATACAGAGTCCTGGTGTGGTTAATGCACTGGACTGCAAAGTCGTTTGAACCACTAGGTTGGTGGTTCATGTCACCAGTCCCTCCTCAGAAACCCTATACAGGTTAGCTCTGGGTTGGAACCGACTCAAAGACACTTAACAACAAAAATAATATTCATACTTTGGTATACAATGGCTCCATACAAAAAGCACTGTATTGCAAACCACAAGGTCAATGACTCAAGCCTACCAGTCACTTCAAGGGGGAAATATGAGGCTTTCTGCTCCCACGAAGATTTACAGCCTCAGAAACCCTATACAAGGGTCGCTTACGAGTTGGAACTTAACAACATATTCATGTATGTGTGTGCTGTTGTTAAATGCAATGGAGTGGAGGCAAAGATGATGACATGGAGAGATAGAATAGCTGAGGACTCAAGATTCATGGAAAGAGAATAGCTGTGTGCTGGCCAGTCAGAATGTTTAAATAATTAAATGTAGAAACATTCTGCAGCAGGCTTGCAGAATGTTTAAATGATTATGTATTCCTGAGTGTTTTTTGCATATATCAAAACAAAACACACATTTAAAAAAAACAAAAAAACACAGAGGGAATAGTAGAAGCAAATACTGTTGAATGATGATGCATAGAGGGGATTGTAATCATTGCAATGAAACGAAATACATTAGGATGTATGCAAAACCAATGTTCTCCCATGTAAACTACCATTCAATTCACAATAAAAACTTAAAAAAAAAATGCCCTGAAGTTGATTCTGAGTAATAGCAAACCTGTAAGCTTTCCAAGGAATGGTTGGTGGATTTGAACCAACAACCTGTGACTAGCAGTCTAGTGTTTATCCTATAACACCACACCAGAGTTCCAGGACTCCGTGTTTGTAGGTGTGTGTGTGTGCGTGCACACACACACACACATATATGAGTGAGACAAAAATTATGTGCACTCTGGCTGTAGACTTTATTCTAATTAGTTTTATACATAATCTTCTTGCTTTTCAATACACTTTGTCCATCTGTCAAAAAGCTTTCATATACCCTTATTTAAAAATGTTTTAGGCTGAGCTGCAAGGCATGAATGCACTGCTGTCTTCACTTCTTCATCAGAGGTAAATCTTCCTCCTCAAAGGGCTGCTTTCAGGGGACCAAAGAGGTGAAAGTCCAATGGAGCAAGATCAGGACTATCGGGAGGATGCTTTAACACCTCAAAACGAAGTTTTTGCAGAATGTCAGCAATGTGGGCAGAGGTGTGCAGACGTGCATTGTCATGCAAGATCACAATACCCTTGGATAGCAATCTTCTACATTTAATCTGAAGTTTACGCGTCAGCTCTTTAGTGAGCATCTTACTGTATGTAATAAGCACTGCTAACTGTTGAATTTTTTCCTGATAGTGTTCCAATACTGGCCCTTGAAAGTCCAAGAAAACATAAGCATCAGTTTTCCAACTGCTGGTTGACTTTAGTTTGAACTTTTTCTTGGTCCGCAATTGAGAATACTTCCATTCCATACTCTGCCATTAACTCTCTGGCTCATAGTGATGAATCTATAGCTCATCACCAATCACGATTTTTTTTTTTAAAGAAACTTTTACCTCCCTTCAAATCAGTCCAAATTTTGTTTGCAGATGTCCAAACACTTGTTTATGCTCTTCAATGAGTTGTTTCGTTACCCATTTCGCACAAGCTTTTCAAAACCCAAGTCTGTTGTGTATATTTCATAGGCAGAGCCATGGCTGATTAGCAAATGATTTACCACAGAATCCACTGTTACTGGTCTCTTCAACAGAATTATTTCATGTGCATGCTCAATGCTGTCATCAGTCGTGGATGTAAATGAGAATTTTAATATAACTGGATTACAGATAACTTTTTACCCATCCTTGTGTGTGTTTGGGTGAAAGTTTACTGAGCAAATTGACTTTCTACTCAACAATTCATATGCATTTTGTTTCATGCCATTGATGACAATTCCCACAAAGTGATAGCACTCTTCATCCCTGTGTTTCCCATTTTAATTCTTCCTTCTTTCCTGCCCCTTCCTGTCTTAAGAGCTTTATACCTGGACAAAGGCTATCCTTTGGTCTCATATTGCATATGGTTGATTGTCTAAGAATTGCATACCTATCTGGTGGTAACGTTCACCTTACAGGCCTATCGTCTGGCTGAAAGTTAATCCCTAGGGGTGAGTACAATACCAAGTTTGTATGGTGTCTAAGGGCCATAGTTTTGCAGGGTCTCCTCAGTCTCTATTAGACCATTAAACCTGGTCTTTTTTCTTACTCTTACTGCTCCAGATGAGGGGAGATCATCTTAGATGCACCTTAGATGACTGCACACAAGCTTTTAAGATCCCAGTCATTACTCACCAAAGTAAGATATAGAAAACTGTCTTTATGGACTATGCTATGCCAAGTAACCTTGATGTCTCCTGAGACTATGGTCCTGAGCCCTCAAGTCCACTGATTCATGCTCTCAGTGTTTGGTTACAGCTAAGATGCTTTCATAACTTTGCCCCCTGTATGATATACTATATGCACTGATATATTTGCTGTACATATAAGTACATATGTAGATATACCTCTTCATATGTCAAGCCTATATGAGAAAGATACACTCTGAGGCAATGAAAAGCCACATGAAAGCAAGCACTGCATCTACCTTGTTTTCAAGTCTGTATGAATAAATAACCAGCACTCCTTGGAAACCCTATACAGGATCGTTATGAGTTAGAACCGATTCAGTGGCAGTTAACAATAACAACAGCACATTGCTATGAATGAGAACCAACTCAGTGGCACTTATAAACAACAGCAGCACATTCTTGAAACATAGTAGGTTCTCATTTTAATAAACATTAATAAACTGAATGCAAGAATGTTCTAAGAAACAGAATAGTCTAAAGCCTAAATAGGCTGTTTAGGAAGCAGTGAATTCTTTGATCACTAGACACTACTAAGCAAATGCTAGATGACTATTTGTCAAACACACTGACAGAACTAATCATAAAGTGGTTAGGCCAACCTGATTAACATTAAGACTCCTTCAAAATCAGAGTTGGTAATTCTAAAAATAAATTTTAAATGTAAAAGAAAAGTGAAAATTTCTGGTAAAGAACATCTTTATTTCTGTCTGGAAAATACATAAAACATTCTTATATACCTTAGATTATACAAGATAATTGACCAATTTTTGTACCAACCTCAAAGATTTTTCTACAACTTGGGTACGATAAACTTCTTCCTGATCCAAATTTATAGTGCAGAAACAATCTCTCATTTTGTTGGGTCCAAGGTATGGCAACAAATTTTTTGCTTCACCTGTGGGCACAAAAATTGAAATTGGTGTTAAATATCATCAGCTACTTTACGTTAAGACTTTTATAAGATGAATTTAATCCATATAAACATATAATAAACGTGGTACAGGAATAAAAAGTGCTTGGAGAAAGATCATCAACTTGTTCTAGAATACTATGAGTGGACTTCCGGCGCTTCCCGGAGCAGGCAACTCAGATAGGGCAGGCTACAGGGAAAAGGGTGGAATCGAACATAGGAAACCTCTGTCTAGCAGACAGCCAGCCTTTGAGCAAACATAAAATTTTATATTTCAACATTCTGAACTCGTTTTCTTTGAAAGATTAAATTGCTGAGGAATTACAGGCATTCTGAGCTTTTGCCTGCCTGCACGCGGCTCCTGCTCCACGCGCCTGCACAGGCGAGTGCCTCTGCCCCCTGCGGACCTTGGAGTACAGGACTAGAGAAACCCCATTTAAAAGGCTGCATTTCCAGAGAAAAGGAAGCATAAACTTGCAAAGCCGAACAAATACAGAGGGATATCGGCGCGGATATGAGGAAATTCGGGGTACCCATGGTACAGAGAGACTGAGAGAGGCATTTTTTATGCATTAGATACACGCCCAATGAGGCCAAGGCCTGCCCCGAAGCCCAATCTACCCAGACTGGTCACAAAGGCCGAGGCCCAACCAAGGCCCAAATCACCTACCCGTCAAGAGGCCCAGGCAGCTCACAGCCCGGTCGCCGCCAAGGTCCAGGGTCCTCAAGGCCCAACAGCCCGGTCGCCGAAGACCAGTGCCCCTGAGACCCAACCTGCCCTCAGCCCGATCCCCGAGGCAAAGGCCCCCCGAGGCCCAATCCACCCAACCCACCCGCCCAAGTCCAAGCCGCCCGATGCCCAGCTGCTGATACTCAGGCCCCCTGAGGCCCAAACTGCCCGCCC